AGATTGGATGGCAGCAACGCGACTCTACCACTGACTTGCAACATGGATGTTTCATTTCCACAAATAGCACAAGCCTGGAGGAGCTTCTGCTGTGTGGTGGAGTTGCTAATGCTAAGTAGTAGCTTCTACTAGCAGAGACGTTAAAACAACAGCCTTCCTCGTCGTGAGTCAAAATGGGTGTGTTGGCAAGGTGAGTTCATGAACTGTCAGGCTTTTCTAATCCTAGAGTTCCAAAGTCTATAGAAGCTGATGCATGAGATAGGTGTAGGAGACTATTTTCATGCTCAGCCTGCATGAAACACTCAGAGTGACCGATTATAATCAGAAATTAAAGCTGCAAGCAGCGTCGATCGGCCTTTGCAGCTCCGCGCCGCTCCGGCCTGGCCGGCAGTCTAGGCCACGCCCACAAACCCATCACGTCCATTTTTATTGGTGGTATGACTAGGATCACTCACCAGAGAATCGTAGCGATATCACGATAACTGAGGAAATGAGAGGCAAACCTATTTCCATGGCGTGATGGCGAATTTTGCCATGCTCCCAAAGCCCCGCCTTTTTTTGAAACCTGCCAATACTGGACACCAAGTTACCTCAACTTGTCTGCTGCTATTTGCCAGAGATTGCTGGTGATTGGGTGAAAGGAGTCCCAATAGGGAGCTGTGAAAAAAAGAGTGGCGTGGCAACAGGTCAAAGTTTGAGGCTTAGCCACGCCCACACCTTTCAACTTTTGAAAAACCCAACGGTTGAATGTTTTCCCCTATGTCTTAAGAGTATATAGCAGAAGTTTGAAGGTGATCGGTGAAAAGGGCGACGGGGCATCATTCTCCAAACAACGTATGCAAAAACCACTAAATCGAGTACTTGGACCAAAATGGCTGTGGAGCTAGTTTAATTGCTATTTTTTGGGACTTTTAAAATACAAAATTTGACACCACGCCTGACAAGTTTGCAAAAATTCCTGAGTTTTCGGGTATGTTGAGGCCTCCAAAAAGCCAATTTACTTGGCGGAAGAAAAATAAACAGAGCAGATACAATAGGCCTATGCAGCGCTTTCGCTGCTCGTGCCTAATAATAAACATTTTAAGAAAGGATTTTTCAGCCAACCACACTTTTACATGTTTACAACATCTGTAAGTTAATGCAAAAACATTAATAATGTAAAAAATAAACATTGTGCTGAGAAATAATGCATTTAAAATGTTTTAATGCTTCTTTCACTCCACACCTTCCCCACTGTGCTGATTTAATGTGCACCACTGCTGCCCTCTGTTGGATGCATGGAAAGAAATGAGTTCTTTCTCTCTGTGTGCATTTCAGATGATAACCTACTTAAACATGACTGAATATATTCAGAGTAGCCTTTACAATGTTAGTTAGTAAAAAAGCATCGACTGAACGCCAGCTGGAAGGTTTGATGTCCTTATTTTATCGGTGTGGTCTGCTTAAGTCTGTCACCCTGCACTCATTATTTCCCACTGGCCACTTGACTCATTGTATCTCATGCATTAATAATGTGCTCCGCTCAGTGAATAATAAAGTCTGCACGACAAGATGGAGAGCCAAGCTGTGGGGAGATGAGCTCACCTTGGTGATCAGGGAAAAGAAAGGAGACACAATCTCATTACTTAAGAGAGAAAATTGGTTTTAGCTCATTAGGTGTTTCACTTGCACCCTTTTCTCTCTGCTTTTGTCTCCTCACTTCCTTTCTTTTGCTATCTGACCCAAATCAGGACACTTCTGCAAAGGTAACTACCGTCACCTTCACTAGCCGAGGTGACCGGGCGTCCCAAGCTGAGCAAGTTCGACAGCTCGCCGTTTTCCACTTCAGGTGGAAAAGCTTTTCAAAGCTGTCGCCGGCAAAAGTCAGTTGATGAAGCCAGTCATGCGGGAAAGCTGTTTTTTTATTTTAAATCTACAAATGCTGCCGTGTTTGTGCTCTGCTGCGTTCTGTGTCGCCAGGCAGCGAGATGCAATTAGATCCCACTGAGCTCAGTCTGCAGGGCACGCACGGACTCACCGGACTCCAGGTAGCAGCCATATTTCTTCACATGTCACCTCCGCACGGATAGCTGGTGTTTCAATTAGCTTAACGGTGTCCAGAGGGAGGCTACAGGCACCGCCGCCCTTCACAGGAGGACTAATGTACATCTTTTGCCTCCACCGAGCCGGCGCGTTTAATGGAAATGCTAATTGATCGCTAATGACTGTTAATTCCTTGAAGCTGGCACCCACTTCCAAAGATAAACAACATTAATGAAATTTTAATCGTAAAAGTTGATGGACGTGCAGCTGGCAGAAGACTGGAACAATGACAAAACACCAGTGCTTTGTTTCCACAAGATTTGGGAGAGTTGAGATTGTGTTTTATGTTTGCAAAAACGTCCTTGTGTGAGAGGTTGCTAGCGTAATTTCCGGGGCTTGCTGCCCAATGGGTTCTTTTCTTGTCTGCACACTAAGCGGGGAATGTGTTTGACTCAAGGGAACCCTCGAGGTCACAAATCTGCAACAAAAGCAGATTTTTTTTTGTGTTTTTATTTTGAAAATGTTACCCACACAGGTAGCTCCAAGCCAGGAAGTTGTCTGAGCTGCTGTTGCACCAGGAGAAAAATAGCTGGTTGGTCCATATCTGGGAACGCAGCCGAGCCGTGTTGTGGTCAGCTGGCTGTGCTGAGATTAAAGGCTGCTGTGATTTATGACCTCAGGGTTTACTGTGTGTGTGTGTGTGTGTGTGTGTGTGTGGGGGGGGGGGGGGGGGGTCAGGTTATTTACTAAAATTGTTGTAATGAAAAGTGTTACAACCAAGCTTCTGTTTACGATTTGAACTCCACGAGAACTTTACAGGATTCCCGAATCCTCCCTGCTGTTTTGTTGTCCATTTTACTTCCGACGTCAGACAGCTCTATTTGTGTAACACATTTCATGCAAAGAGGCTATTAAATGTTCTTTCCAGGTACAAGAGAGTTATGAAATCAGTGTGAAAAATCAAAACAGCAGATTAAAGCCAAATCTGAATAAAAAGAAAATGCAGAGTTAAAGACTGAGCAGTTACAGCGGCGCAGGGTAGTAATCACTCTAAGGCAGATGAATGCATGAAGTTTTCCGTTTTGATTTAAAAGTGACCAGAGTACGGGCAGGTTTGAGGTCGCGAGGAAGCTGATTCCATCCGTGTGCAGCCTAGTTTGGTTCTGACCCGGTTCTACCAGCTGACTGTTTCCTTGCTGGGCGTAGACACCAAACAGATCCAACATGTATTCTGGCCCCACGCCAGTGAGTGATTTATAAACTAGTAGTAGCACTTTGAAGTTGATTGTGTAGTTTACTGGTAACCAGTGTAGCGATTTAAGAACAGGAGTGATGTGCTCGGCCCTCTTCTTCTTCTCCTCCAGCTTCACTGGCTGCCAGTCAACTTCAGGGTTCATTTCAAGATCCTGGTTCTGGTCTATAGGGCCTTACATGGACAAGCACCATCTTACATTGGTGATCTTCTTAGTCCCTACACCCCCAGCAGGTCCCTGAGGTCCAGTGATCAAAGCCTACTGGTTGTGCAGCACCAGGCTAAAGGTCAAAGGTCAGATCATCTGCTGCTGTGGCCCCCAGACTCTGGACCTCTCTCCACCTGAGCCTGAGATCAGTGGACTCAGTGGTCTCCTTTAAGAAGCAGCTGAAGACTCACCTGTTCAAGCTGGCTTTTGTATGACCTTCTTCACCTCTCTCTCTTTATTCTGCTCTCCCCACCTATTCCACCTTCCTCAGGATCCACTGATTTCCCTCTTTCCTGTTCACTCTCTCTCTTTCTTAACATTTTTTCTTTTAAATCGCAACAGCTTATTCTTGCTCATTTTCAATATATTTTTAAACATTTTCGAAATGCTTTTATATATTTTTACAATTTTTATATTTTTTGTTTTTGTTTTTGTGAAGCGCCTCGTGATTTTTATCTTGAGAGGTGCTATAGAAATGATATTTTCTTCTTCTTCTTCTTGGTTCTTGTTAGCATGCTAGCAGCAGCATTCTGAGCAAGCTGCTGTTGCTTCACAGCTTTTTGGGAAGACCAGATAAAAGACCATTGCGGTAGTCCAGCCTGCTGCAGATGAAAGCATGAATGAGTTTCTCTAGGTCCAGTTTGGACATGAGTCGTGCTGTTTGGTGAAGATGTTAAATCGCAGATCTAGTTATAGCCTTGATGTTACCAGTGAAGCTCAAGTCTGAATCAATTACGACTCTGAGATTTCTAACCTTTACTTTTATTCCTCTGGAGCCGAGTTTAGCAATAACCTCCATCCTGTCCTCCTTCTGTACAAAGACCAAAACTTCAGTCTTGTCTTTGTTTAACTGGAGGAAGTTTGACTGCATCCAGTCATTGACTTGCTCCAAACTGGTTCCGAGAAACCAGGACATTCTTGTAATATTTCAATTGGTTTTTAATGAAGTTCTCGATCAGAAATGGGTGTATTGATAGATCTGGGTCAGAGCAGAGGTTCTCCGTATGTCGGGGTCTTGCTTGAGAATGACAGAAAGGAGGGAGTCTGAGACTGACGGGCTTTGACTGGTCTGTGTGGTAAAGAAGGAGCTAAGAGGAAGACAATTGTGTTAATGTACTGGTTGATCCACATTTTGACCCTCACCCGTGTTCAGGAGTTTTAAGCATTTACTAAAATAACAAGTTCATAGGTACAGGTGACCAGAATGAAGGTGGATGTTCTCAGCCTAAGGGTTAAGGTAAGGAGCTGGGGCTTCCAGTAGCTGCTCCTCCACATGAAGAGGAGAAGCTGGTGGGAGTAGGCTGCCCTGGGAGCACCATGGGGTCCCACTGGGGGTGCTGGCGGAAGTGATTTAGGACAAGGATCCTTACGGCTGCTGCCTCATACCATCTAGACTCAGACAAGTGGAAGATAACATTTTCTGGAGGTCTATCATCAACAACAGGAGAACATTTTTCTCCTTTTATCTCATTGAAATATAAAACCCACCCGTTTTGACTGAAAGTCTTTATTTTCCAGAGGAGATTTTCCACTCACACATCGCCCATTGGTGGTCTCCTGATGGCGCCAGGTTAGCTTACGCCACCATCAACGACACTCTGGTGCCCAAAATGGAGCTGCCCATGTTTACAGGCTCACCTTACCCAATGGGGAAGGAGTATCCGTACCCTAAGGTGAGAGCATCACATCGTATTATAAACTCAGTTGTTTTAAAGGTCGAATTTCAAATGTTGTTCCCCATCTGTTCAGGCTGGTGAGGAAAACCCGGTGATCACTCTGTATGTGGTGAACCTCAACGGCCCTCTGCACACCATCGAGATGAGGAGACCGAATGATCCCAGGACCGGGTGAGAACTCTACTTACACGGACTTTTTGGGATCCACTGCAAGTTCCAGTGTAAATTGTTAAACGTGAGCCACGTTGGTCTGTTCCGTATTTAACGGGCTTTCTGCTCCACTGGGTCCGTTTGTTTGCACGCCCTCTTCTTCTCCATCCTCGCCTCTTCTTCAAGCCTTTCTCTTTGAAATCTGCACTTAGTTAATGGAAACCTCTTATGTTTATGTATTTAGCAGACGCTTTTGTCCAAAGCGACTTACAAGTGATAATCGGCATGTTGCCCTTGAGGCTAACAACAACAACTTGACATCAATCATGGAGAGAAGGGAACAAGGAGTGGACAGTAGAGAGGGGGGACGGGTGCAGGGAGGGTGCTAGTTTAGAAGATGCTCTCTGAAGAGCAGGGTCTTCAGGAGTTTCTTGAAAATTGAAAAGGAAGCCTCTGTTCTGGTAGTTCTTGGAAGGTCATTCCACATTTGTGGAACGATGCATGAGAAGAGTCTGGATTGTCCTGAACGTGGTGTAGGCACTGCTAGCCGACGATCCTGTGATGACCGGAGCGGCCGGGCCGAGACGTAAGCCTTTGCAAGAGGATTCAGGTAGATGGGAGCCGTACCGTCTCGGACTTTGTATGCTAGTGTTAGCGATTTGAATTTGATGCGTGCTGCTAGCGGTAGCCAGTGGAGCTCAATGAACAGAGGGGTGACGTGTGCTCTTTTTGGCTGATTGAAGACCAGACGCGCCGCTGCGTTCTGGACCATTTGAAGAGGTCTCGCAGTACAGCCTGGAAGACCAGTTAGAAGGGCGTTGCAGTAATCGAGGCGGGAGATGGCAGTACCCCCTCACGCCGTTTCCACACAGGCGTTAACCGCTTCCTGCTTGTTTCTCAGTGAGTACTACGTGACGATGGTGAAGTGGGCCACCACCACCAAACTGGCCATCAACTGGCTGAACAGAGCGCAGAACATTTCCATCCTGACGCTGTGTGAGGCCACCACGGGGGTCTGCACGAAGGTACGATTCGGCGGCGTCTGGAACCGCCCGTTCGCTCCTAAAGCCGTTTCTTTAACTCAAACAATCTGTTTCTCACAGAAACATGAAGATGAAAGCGAAGGGTGGCTCTACAGGCAGGTGAGCATGTTCAACACAAATCAAGCTCCGATTTAAAGCATCTGAGGAGGCTTTTATCGCCTCATTTGACCTTTAAATTGGTTTTATCTTCTCACATTTCTTGCCCGATTAAAAGTTATTGTTGTAAAGTCGTTTATCTTTTTTTCCCTCTAAGCTGATTACAGCAGCGTTGTTAGTGTCGTCTTTGTAAAAAAGTATAATCGGATAATTGCTTTTATCATAATGGTAACACCCACTAACCCGTTAATGTAGCCTTTTATTCAGAGGTCTGAACGGCGCGCTCTTGTCCTTCAGAACGAGGAGCCGCTGTTTTCCAGAGACGGTCTGAAGCTTTTCTTCACACGAGCCATTCCCCAAGGAGGCCGGGGCAAGTTCTTCCACATCTCCATGTCCGTCTCCCAGGTGAGACCTGATTTAGGTGGGAATTAAAACAGCGATGAGGTGGAAATTTGCTTTTTACTCTTAGTTCTTTTAGTGATGAATAGCAAAATCTGCATCTTTGTTTTTTACTAGGTATTAAATTGTTTTCTGCAGGTTTTATTTATAACAACTTAAAGTTCTCGAGGACAAATCCTTGACGATCTTAAAAACTCATGATGTTCAGTGAAAATTATTAAAGATGAAGAATTAAAAAGTAAAAGGTCGACTATTTCAAGAACTATCTAAAAATAATCCTGTTATTCTGCTTTTATTATTATTAATATTAATAATATTTTGTATTTATTATTATTATTGAGAATTTTGTGTTTTCGCTGAATTAATTACATTTTTGAATACAGGGGAATATAAGGAATCTCCGGAATTCCTTCAAAATAAAAGTCTTAGAAATACTTTAACACTATTAATCCATTAAAATTGAACTGCATTTTGATTTGGTTGCCTGACATTTTGATTTTAATCACTTTTTTATCATTATTTATTTTTCATTTTTTGGCAATGACAGTAATGCTTCTCGGGTAAAATCAGAGTTTAAAAGTCTGAAGAGAAATTAAAATCTGGCCTTGAAGTTGCTTCAAACCAAATCTTTTTCTCTGATATTTATTTCCTTTTTGAAGTGTTTCGTTTGATTTTACACCTAATTAAAGTTTGTTTTAAGTCTACAAAACATCAAAACTTGTTTGGAAATTAATTGAATCTGAAAAAACAAAAATAACAAAGTTCCCGTTCCATTGTTTTATTTTCTGGAAACAAACATCTCTTCATCTCGGAACTAAATTTGCAATTAGAGTCACAAATCTGCAGGATTTCACACCTGAATCTCAGCTTAAACAGGTTGCTGTGGTTCGTTTCAAATGTTTGTCTAATTATTAACCTTTTGACCTTACAATTTTCAAGGTTGCAGGAGGGGATCAGCCTGGCCATGAATTAAAGGGACAATTCAGCTCTTAGTTCTATGAACAGCTTCAGTTTGCAGAAAAAGAGATTATTACTGATAAAACAGATACGCTAACAGCTAGTCACAATACATACAAATAAATTCCAGTTCATGCTAAGGTTGTTTATAAGCTTTAAGCTGTCACAGTTCATGTTTCTCCCATCAGGAATTATGAAATTCCAGACAGGAGTGCTGCAGGAGCTAGCTCAACATAATTCCCTGTAAATAAACCTGTTATGCAAAAGTTAAATTACCCTCATACTTCATTCAGACTAGCTGTTAGCTTATCTGTCCGGTTAGCATTGGTCCCTGTTTCTCTAAACTGAGGTTGTTCACAGAACTATTAACAGGTATTAACTGGTTTTATGGACAAAATCAGCTCGAAATCAAATTTTTACAAATATTTTAGCATTAAAATTTTCATCAGGCAGCATGAATCAACAGTTTTTGTTGCATAGAAACAGTAAAAATATATAATTTACAAATAGTCTTGCTTTTTATTGTTTACACAATAATGTGTAATTACTGTATTTTACACAAACGTGACATTTTGCAACCATCATGAACAAAAAGAGTTTCATATTTGGGTGTTTTCTCATCTTCTAATCCCGAAGCCGAACACCAGTACAGACACACTGCAGTCCATCACCTCAGGAGACTGGGACGTCACTCAGGTCCTGGCCTACAACGAGGAGAGCCAACTGATGTGAGTTTTAACAAGTTCATGTGAACACATTAAAAATATTTCTATGTGTTTCTTACTTCGCTCGACCATCTTAGTTATGACTTCTAACTGGTCATCATTCTTATAATCCTCCTATGTAGCTCTGATTCTTTATTCTGAACTCTCGACTTTTAAATAAAGGCAATTTGTGCCAATAAAAGTGCCATGAAGGTGCCAGAGGTTCTGGTTTCCTGCTTCTCTGGGTTCATCCAAGATCCCATTTCCTCCCACGTTTTAGCTCCTGACTTCATACGAGGAGAAACGCAGAAAAACAGCTTCAGAGATGTTAAATATAAAAGAGCATCTCCGCCCTTTGGGGAGAAACGCGTGTCCTACTTCTCTAAAACGCATTCATCCCCGTCGTTCTCATGAGTCCTCTATTTTAGCTGTTCCAGGTGCTGCTCCGCCACACCTAGAGGTTCTTTTTCTGCATCTGAGCTACTTTTGTTCTCTCCTCATGTGAACTCAGATACTTCCTGAGCACTGAAGACGGCCCAAAGAGAAGACACCTGTACAGGTGAGCGTTGCTCTGATTCTGTATATTAGAATGAAATGTGTGTGCTGAACGTGTCGATCGGCCTCTCCGCAGCGCCGACGCCTTCGGCTCGTTCAACCGCCGCTGCCTGTCCTGCTCCTTGTACGACGTCTGCGGCTACGTCAGCGGCTCCTTCAGCCCCAACATGAGCTACTTCCTGCTGCGCTGTGAAGGTAGGAAACCACAGCTGTTTCCTGTTTTTGAGTGTTTTGAACGTTTAGATAAAACAGAATGTTCTCTAAAAGTGGTGAACGTAGTTTTGTTCATTTTTCATATTTTGCAACGTCGAGCCAAAATCGGAGTCGGATTCCCTTAAAACCTTTGATCTGATCGGCCGTCTGAGGCTTAAAAATATGGTGAGAAAAAGAATAAAACAAGTTGTGCTGTTTGAAGAGGATAGGTTTAATATTTAATCCCGCTCAGATTTTAGTGACAGTCAGCTGACAGATCCATCCTACCCAGCCGACCCTCGCTGATTCTGCTCCTCGTGTATTTTTAGCCCAGTTGTCTCCCCTGCAGCCTGTGATCAGGTTAAGCTGTGTTCCTCACGAGGAACAAAAAACTGACTGGATCCATCCACAGTCTTCCTGTTTTCCCAATCTGCTAAATGCATCCATCACGTTGTTTTCCGTCTCTTCTCCCTCCGCTCTGCAGTTCCAGGGCTTTGCTTCTGCTTGTGGTCTAAATATAGAAAATCTATTCCAGATATTAGTTCATGAGTCAAATAAGCTCAGAAGGTCTACGGTGTCTATAACGCCCTTTTGGCCTGAAGCAAAAACTAAAAATAGAAACGCAGGAACATCACGAGGAGGGATGAGGATTCATTTCTTCATGATCTCTTGAATTCTGGTTTCCTTTTCAGGGCCGGATGTCCCGTTTGTGGCTGTTTACAAAACACAACGAGATGCAGAAAGTGAGACTCAAGACAGAGAAAGTGAGTAAACATCTGGTTATAAATTACAATCTGAAACGTCAGATTGTTCAACCATTCATTTTCCTGATTTTATCATTGTTTCCACTGAGAGAAGATCTGGCAACACAGTTCAACTACAAAGATCTCAGAAATGAGTAATACATGACAAGTAAATGAACCTAACGTATTTTTGTAAACATTTCGCTAAATTATAGTTTTCATCTGGGTTTAGTTTGGATCATTTTCTTTAATCCAGATTTCCTTGTAACCTGTTAAATAATCCTTTCAGTTGTACTCCAAGAACCACTGAAACCAGTTTGAAAGCAATAGCTTAAAGTGTTAAAAGCTCTTTAGTGTTTCTTTAAATTAAAAAAAAATCCTGTTTCTCCTCTCTTAAAGGGAAACTTTGCAGTTTTAGCTTGCTTTTAGCGCCCCCTAGTGTCAGTTAGTCACAGCAAACTCATCTCGCTGTGCGCTCATCTTTTTAACACCTCAATCTAACATCTTTGGTGTGTTCTTTTCTGTGTTGCTTTTCTAACTGCATTTTTTGGTTCTTTTTAAAACACAGATAAGTTTTTTTCTTAAACTTGCTGACGGTTTCGTGTGCGGCTGCAAACTTCCTCAGAGCTGACGCTGATGGTGGCGTCACTTCCTACTCCGTTTATCCGCGGGCAGCAGAGGACGTTGTCGCCCTCTGCTGCCCGCTCTCCCCTCTCCGACGATGCAGTCCCATGCACGATCCAATGTGTAGACCCCATCGTCTCTGTTCATGGTCCCGCATCCACGTCTCCTTATCTGCAAAGCTTCTTTTATCCATCTTTTGTATTTCTGTTGTTGGGGTACCATGAACAGAGACAGAGTAGGAAGTGGCGCCACCTTCAGTGTCAGCTCTGAGGATGTTTGCAGCTGCAAACGAAACCGTCAGCAAGAAAAAGAGAAACCTTTCCTGTGTTTTAAAAAGAACCAACAATGCACCTTAATCAAACATCTGAAACGTCTCCCCAGCCTTCATTAGTGTCTACGGGAGTGATTCATCACTAAATCAAACAAATCAGCTGTTCTCATGATCTAAAACGTGTAGAAAACACTCTGAAGTTGCAAGTGTGGTATTCTGGCCAACGGGGGTGGTGGGGTCTGAGTGAAATTTCATTTACCCTGTAAGGGATCATTTTAGCAAGAAAAGGATTTAAAATTGCAAAAAAGTGGCCGAGTAGGGCTTTAAAATAAAACAAAATACAATTGTTGTTGGATCCATGCAGAAAGGGGCCCCTGGGGGCCCCGCCCACCTGAGCCTTGACGCTCTGACTGTGAGGTGGATGTAAAATGAAACTAAAGGTTATAAACCACCAGAACGTCCACCTGTTTGCTGAGTCGCTGTTATTCCTGAGGACATCTTGACCTGATGGTAGTAATAATCACATTATTCCCCACATTAGATGTGCTCATTACATTATGACCTGCCCAGCAGCAACATCAGCACACGCTTAATCTGATTGTGTTGCACCCCTCTGCCCTCATGTGTTATGCTCAAATCCGAGTAGACACGCGACAGCGATGCATTTAGTTAGTTAGGATCAACTTGATTTGGAGTTTTTCTGCAGATTCAGCATCATTTAGCTAAGGTGCAAGAACACATATTAGAACCCGTCTTTGTGGCTGAAACAGGCTCGCAGCAGGATTCACGGAGCTGCTGAAGCTCCACCTCGTCATCAGACTTTTTATTTTATTCCTGCAGCAAGTTTTATCTGAATCGCCAAGCAGCAGCAGCTGTGGCAGCAGCTGAGTTGATTTCCCGCCTGGGCGCTGCCTCTTTTTTTGGGGAAGTTCAGCACAAACCAATTCCAACGCACAATGTTCACCGCCATACCTTTGACCCGCCGTGTTCTAGTCTCAGCAGCCTGCGGCGACGAGTTTGTGTCAAACAAGCCAGCTGTGGTTGTTGAACAAGTGCGGCTGGTTGGTTCTGATGACTGAAGCTTTCCTTCGGGGGGGATTTGGATCATGACTGCGGTCATGTGTTGTTTTAATCTTGTTTTTTTTTTTATCAAGTCAGCTTTACTGATATTTATGAAAATGGGAATTTAAACAAACTCACTGGACTTTATCACTTAATTTACTTATGGGACAGCAGAAGCTCAGCAGGTAGAGTGGGGGGTCCAGTAATCGCAAGGTTGCAGGTTCGATCCCAGCTCTGACCAGAGAATTCTGCTGTTGTTTCCTTGGGCAAGACACCTAACTCTCCTTGCCTGCTGGTGGTGGTCGGAGGCACCGGTGGCGCCTGTGTTCGGCAGGCTCGCCTCTGTCAGAGCGCCCCAGGGCAGCTGTGGCTTCATCGTGGCTCATCCCCACCAGCGTGTGAATGGGTGAATGAATGATTGTGTTGTGAAGCGCCTGGGGGGGGGGGGGGGGGGGGGGGGGGGGTTGTAGAACCCTGTATTTTATTTCTGCCACACATATTTTGTAATGGCACCTCTGTAATTGTTAATATTATTGATATTTTCCCTAATTTGTTGTTGTATTTTTACCTTTTATTTACTTATTTGTATGCATAACTATGAGTTTATTTTATTTTATATATCAAACCACAAATACTTTGCATAGTTATGTTACTGACCTTGTTTGAATTACTTGCATCACATTAAAGTAGAAAATATTCTATAATAAACACTGAACTCTAATCTGACATCATATTATTTAAAGCGGACATATCGTGCAAAACTCACCTTTTGCATCATGTTGTGCAGCCATGTGGGTCTCTACTGCCTCTATAAGCACGAAAACCCCTGTCCATCCTTTTGGTTTTAGGAATTATATGCCTAAAGCTAGATGTTTAAAAAACGAATCCCCGTTTGTGATGTCACAAACGGGGAATCTCAATGAGAATCTACTCTCACGTGTAAAGCCAGGACCACACGAGTGTTTTTTAGCCTTAAATCCCTTGTTGTGAACAGAATTGTGACAAAAACTGTGAACTTGAGGGTGATTAGTGAGCCTGTGGCTGTCCAGTGTGACCAGGTCAGCAATAGCTTATTGAGCACCCTCATGACCAAAGACAGCCTTCAAGCATGGCTTGAAAACCTAAGGCTTCCTTCTGCAATCGACCAATGAAAATGCACCCCGGGAGTGATGCAAACAGCCAGTGATGGGAGTGCAACACAAGAGTAGAGTTAGCAACAGTGGAAGCTGCACCTGGGAACATGTGGGCTGCTCCTTTGTGGAGTTAGGTTCGGAGTCTAATTAAAAAAAAAAGTGTTAACTGGTGCTTATTTGTCTGTTCAGCATTGTTGTTCTGGTTGGGTGTCTGCTTTTAGTGACATATTTTGGGGGATGCAACGTGTCCTGCTAGTGCGAGATGTCGTTCAGTTCGGCTCACTTGCACCGCACAGTGCGCCACCTCCCTAGAGTCGTCACAGTGTGACATGAGCAGTCCTGTGTGACCGCTGTGAGCAGTGTGGTCCGAGCTTGAGAGAGGGATGCTGCTGGAGGAGCAGCATCTCTATTCTTAGCCCCTCCCAGAGCTAGTATTTTAATACTCTGAATTAAGACTTATTGCTGTGGGATGGGGTGGTGTTTTACTTTTAACTGTTCGAACCAGAGCGCTGCGTGGTGAAGCAGTAGGCAGTGGTGATGCCTCCTAGCATGAAGGTTGCAGGTTTCAATCCCAGCTGTAGCTTTTCAGCGTGGAGTTAGCATGTTCTCCCCTCACATATGTGGGATTTCTCAAAACAAGAAGGAGTCTAAACCCCAGCTTCCTGAGACCTTAATGAAGATGAGGCTGTTCAGGTGATGAACAATCAAACCAGACATTACATCCGCACTCAGACAAAACTAATATTATTGGCTTTTAGTTGACATTTTATGTCACATTTGCTTTGTTCATCATTTTCATTCACAACTACAATCAAACTTGATCAAAAATCAGGAATAATCCATGAAATGAAACTTGAGTTTCTTTCTGTTTTAGTTGTTTGTTTTTATGTTTTCAGGTATTTCAGAAGTCTGTAAACTGGAGAGCAATGAGAATCTGAGGCTGACTCTGGAGTCCATGCAGATGCCCACCGTGGAATACATGGAGATCAACATGGACGACTACAGTAGGTGTTAGACTTTCTGCAAGCTTAACGTGTAAAAAAGGAGGGAATTTACGGTTGCAAAGATGATTTAATAAATACACTTCAGTTTGATCAGCAGAGCGTTTTATTAGTTAGTTTTCCTCGCATTTACAATGTTTTATCTTTATGCGGTTTTATGACTCTGGTCCTGCTGACGACAAACTGAATCCTGTTAACGAGGAGGCAAAAAACGAAGAAATCAGCTTTCCTCGTGGGCTAGTTCAAAACATTTGAAATAGCTTTAAAAATCATCCTTCAGCTTTCAGATGTTCTAAATGTTTACTGAAAAATTCAGCTTTGCATCGTTGTTTACAACAGACGGATGAGGGGTTTCCATTAGGTATAAACAGGTGTGGGCGTTCCTGACTGTGGTCGTCGATGATGGTCAGAAATTTGCAGAGGAGTAAATTAACAGATGTGAAAATCAAAGAAAAGTTGTAGAAAATGACTCCGAGATCAAATATGTTGTAGAGACATGGACGTCATTTTCAACTTTAGAAGTAGGGGGGACACGGGGGGTGGGGGGTATCCTTACAGTATGTTCTAATGGGAAACAGGCTTCAACACAAACAGTTGTTTTTTGCTTGGTCCTAGAGCTCAATCAGTGTCAATTTAACATTGCATAATATTTTTTTGGGATGGTAAAAAGTGCAGGGGTCAAAACTTGACTTGACTGTGGAAAAGGTGGGGGTGGGGGGACATGTCCCCCCACCCCCACCCCAAAAATTACGTCCATGTGTGGAGAAGAGACTGAAGAGCGTTAAAAGGGCTTAACTGAAACGGACGTAATAATTGAATCTCACATGAAAACGGACGAAGATGTGAAGCTGAAATTAAAACAGACTTTTGTTTCTCTGGACTCCAGTCCTTTCCTTGCAGATCCTGAAACCTGCCGGCTTCATGGACACATCTCACTACCCGCTGCTCCTGCTTGTGTACGTTTCTATGCTGAGACTAAAGTTTATTGTTTATTATCTTAATTTTTTGTCCTAATTTCCAGCCACGGTCTGTAATCTGGCTGTTTGCACAACATTAAACTAAATCATTTCACTTCCAAAGACGTGACTTTAGTTTGAATAAATCCCAGCTGAGACTTACTTTGATGCGCCGCTCTGTGATGCAGCGATGGGACACCCGGTGGACAAACGGTAACGGAGCAGTTCATCATGAACTGGGCCACGGTTCTGGTGAGCAGCTTCGGCGCCATCGTTGTGCACTGTGATGGGCGAGGCAGCGGCTTCCAGGGCACCAACGTTCTGCACCGGATCCAGAAGAGACTGGGAGTGTTTGAGGAGCAGGACCAGATGGATGCTCTCAGGTTTGGGCTTCAAGTTTTCAAACGCAATCAATGTTGGACATTTTGACTCTTTTTCGTTTGTATTTTACTTTTAGTTTGAATGTTGTACCCGATTATTCTTTGGCAGCCAGTGTCGACATTAAAGTAATTTCATTGTAAAGGGAAACACGATTCCTTCCGTACTTTTGACAAAAAAGCTTTAAATCCTAGAAAACGGATTAAATTAAAAGTGAGAAGAAGAATCCGGGAGAACTAAAAACAGATTTCTTGCAATAACAAAATGACAGCAGATGTTTTTATTTCTTTTGCAGGTTTATGCTGCAGAAGCCGTATGTGGACAAAACCAGAGTTGGAGCTTTCGGACAGGTAAACGAGTCTCGGCACTCAAAAAATAAAAAGCTAACTCAGATTCTTGTTTGGCGGAAATCGAAGCTTCGTGTGTTTTTAAATGGACATGTCGATACTTTGTTTTATTGATAATTTGTCTACTAAAAGAACCTCATCTTCAGGTGACGTCACTGAGTGTGGGCGGAGTCTCTAGAAGAAGTCCTCGGACCGGAGCAATACTCCAACCTAGCTAGATCGGTAGCAAACTAGCTTCTAATTTGGAGTATTTTAAATATCTCTTCCTCCAAAAACGAACATTGACAAATTTAAGTAGCAAAAAGTTAAAATATGTTTTTTTTTATTGTTGTAAAAGTTTAAAATGTCATGCTATTAATAGCTAGCCTATCCACTGAGCACTTCATTTCCTCTCCCTCTCAAAATGCATAAATATGACAGATCTGAGGTTTAGTTTTTTAAGATATTTTAGTTTTATTTTGCACAACCTGTGAATAATTAGGATTTTTCCCTGTATCTGAATATCTTCTGTCCTTAGAGCACGTAGCTATGTGTAGCTAGCCAGCTCGCAACCACTAAAACAAGCACAAGAATCCTAAATGAAGGTTTCTGTAAATATTTCACCACTGTAACTACACAGAAACAATGTATTACTAATACACA